CAGCTCATCCCCTGTTTGGGTATCAGCCAGCACGTCAACGACTCAAATCTAGAAATAGTTTCCTAAGATCTACAGAGACACTCACTGGAACACCTCAGCAAGCGAGAGTCCAAAAGTGGCAGGCTCAAACCCAGAACCTCAACCAATGGCTGATACCCAATGAGAGACTCCCCCCTGGGCACACAGAAGACTGGGCGACTTGGAAGGCACTGAACAGACTGCGCTCTGGCACCACGAGATGCAGAGCCAACCTTCAGAAATGGGGCTACAAAGTGGAATCCTCGACATGCGAGTGTGGAGAAGAGCAAACCACTGACCACCTGCTGCAATGCACCCTGAGCCCTGCCACATGCACCATGGAGGACCTTCTTGCAGCAACACCAGAAGCACTCCAAGTGGCCAGATACTGGTCAAAGGACATTTAACCAACTACCAAACTCACAAATTTTGTATTTTGTCTGTTTGTTTGTCTTTGTTCTGTTAGAAATGTAATACAATTGACTGGTTGCCCTGACACGACAAATAAATAATACTGGTGAGTAATTTTCTCTTTTATTAATAATGTCACCCCTGAGCAGCAATCAAGACTCCTAAGCAGCCTCGACAGAGCCACTCCATGAGTACGTGATCACTACACTGTGAGTGCCCTGAAAGATCCTGACTGTGTTGGGTCACATCACTGGATTCCCTGCTTCAGCAATTTAAAATACCTCCAGTTGAATTAAATACAGTTAGTCAGTTAGTCCTTCAAACAGAAATGTACTTTCCATGCACCTGAAGGTAGAAGAGGCATGAGACACCAGTGGTCAACAGCCCAATATGCTTTTCTTTTATTGAATTTCTTGAACCTTTTATGTTGTTGTTGTTGTTGTTGTTGTTGTTGTTGTTATTATTATTATTATTATTATTATTATTATTATTATTATTATTATTTGAAACACAACAAGATGAGTCCACAGCAGACAAGATCACTCTGCTGGCTGTTGTATTGAATCACACATCAGACACTTCCCGAGTGTCTAGGACTGCACACATTATTCGCCGATACATCCTAGACACTTGACACAGTCCTAGACACTTGAGATTATTATTGTTGTTGTTGTTATTATTATTATAGTAATGTTGAAGTCTACGTCCCAATCTCATGTAAATGGAAAGTGTGGTTTTACGTGCACAAGCAATATGCATCTTCTGCTTCTGCTGCACCTGGAGAAATGGACACTCACAGGCCTTGGTTTCCTATAAGGAGGATTTCGCTCCATCCAACCCATTGCATTATTCTCATCTTCTGCAAAATAGAAGTGCTCCATGAAAGGGTGAACTCAGGTTCTGGTGAGAGGGTGTGAATGCTGAGACACTCTAGATCAGGGATCCTCAAACTAAGGCCCGGGGGCCGGATACGGCCCTCCAAGATCATTTATCCGGTCCTCGCTCAGGGTCAACCTAAGTCTGAAATTACTTGAAAGCACACAACAACAACAGCAATCCTATCTCATCAGCTAAAAGCAGGCCCACACTTCCCATTGAAATACTAATAAGTTTATATTTGTTAAAATTGTTCTTCACTTTAATTATTGTATTGTTTTTAAGTGTTTATTTGCTCTACAAGTAAGATATGTGCAGTGTGCACAGGAATTCATTCATTTTTTTCAATTTATAATCCGGCCCTCCAACAGTTTGAGGGACTGCGACCTGGCCCTCTGTTTAAAAAGTTTGTGGACCCCTGCTCTAGATCATAAGGTAAAGGTAGTCCCCTGACATTAAGTCCAGTCATGTCTGACTCTGGGGTGTGGTGCTCATCTCCATTTCTAAGCCGAAGAGCCAGCGTTGTCCGTAGACACCTCCAAGGTCATGTGGCCAGCATGACTGCATGGAGCGCCGTTACCTTCCCGCCGGAGCGGTACCTATTGATCTACTCACATTTGCATGTTTTCGAACTGCTAGGTTGGCAGAAGCTAGGGCTGACAGCGGAAGCTCACGCCGCTCCCTGGAATCGAACCTGCGACCTTTCGATCAACAAGCTCAGCAGCTCAGTGCTTTAACCCACTGCGCCACCGGGGGCTCCGCTCTAGATCATAGAATGTCAAAATAATCCACAAGCCAAGGTCTGCCAAGGAAGACAGGCACTACATCCTGGCAACTCTCACCTCCAGCCAAATATCGGCAAAGTCGTGGACAATCATCACCAGCGTTCCAAGCCGGATGTAATTGGCGCTCCAGGAGCAGAACATCAGGCCCAGGGCTGCAAAGTGGTGGACCACGTGGGCTTTAAAGTCCTAGAGAGAAATCAAGGAATCAGTTTTTCTCCTGGCAACAAGTAGAAACACCGCATCTGGTCTCAGGAAAGCCAGAGCAGGTGGAAGCCCTGAAGCTAACCAGATGTCTAAACGAAACAAAGGCCGTATCTTATTGTTGAATCTGCACCGCAGCAACATCATCATCATCATTTTTTTTCATGCATTTCTACCCCGCCCTTCTTCCCCCCCGAATTTCTAAACATAAATACAGGAACCTGTTCCATGAATTACTAAACAGAACAGCAAGGTCTTGGAGGTCATCACTGCCATCTCTAGTCTATGACATACACAAGATGACCGTTCTTTGGAGCAAGAGATTTCACACTGATATTGTACAGGACTCCAGTGCAAGAATACAGTTTTGCACCTGTATGCACAGGATCTATGGATTTGGTCACCTACATCTAACACAGTGGTTCTCAACCTTCCTAATGCCGCGACCCCTTAATCCAGTCCCTCATGTGGTGGTGACCCCCAAACATAACATTGTTTTTGTTGCTACTTCATAACAGTCATTTTACTACTGTTATAAATCATAATGTAAATATCTGATATGCAGGATGTATTTTCATTCACTGGACCAAACTGGGCAGAAATACCCAAGACCCCCAAATGTGGGGTTGAGGGAGGATTGATTTTGTCATTTGGGAGTTGTAGTTGCTGGGATTTATAGTTCACCTACAACCAAAGAGCATTCTGAACTCCATCGACAATGGAATTGAACCAAACTTGGCACACAGAACTATATGTATAAATATATGAGAGGAAGTCACAGGGAGGAGGGAGCAAGCTTGTTTTCTGCTTCCGTGGAGACTAGGACGCAATGGAACAATGGCTTCAAACTACAAGAGAGGAGATTCCATCTGAACATGAGGAAGAACTTCCTGACTGTGAGAGCCGTTCAGCAGTGGAACTCTCTGCCCCGGAGTGTGGTGGAGCCTTTTAGCTGGATGGCTATCTGTCAGGGGTGATTTGAATGCAATATTCCTGCTTCTTGGCAGAATGGGGTTGGACTGGATGATGGCCCAGGAGGTCTCTTCCAACTCTTGGATTCTATGATTCTATGATTCTGAACTCCACCAACGATAGAATTGGCTCAAACTTCCCACATGGAATCCCCATGACCATCAGAAAATACTGCATTTTCTGATGGTCTTTGGTGACCCCTCTGACACCCCCTCGCAACCCCCCCAGGGGTCCCGACCCCCAGGTTGAGAAACACTGTTCTAACACAATACGTTCTCTTTAGGCATATTCTAAGTCCTCCAGGATAGTTCACATTATATTATATTTACTTGTATCTACCAGCAGATACTTGCAGGAGGAAAGTGACATGTCTGTTGCCATAAAGGTGCAAAACACAACTGGGCAAATGGTGCCATTCAGTCTAGTTGTTCAATCTGGGCTAGGGAGGAGTATCTCATTGCCAGCAACTTGCACATTTCCAGACATAGATAGCTTTCCAAATGCAACCTGTAGGAAGAAATGGAACATTTGCTTTGTCCCAGTGCCAGGTTTCTCTGCCACAATGCCACCGAGATACTGCGATGGCAGCTCAACTCTGACTAATCTCATGTAATACCCTCAAAGACTGGATGCCTTCCAGATCTTTGCTGAGCATCTTTGGCAAAATGATGGTGGGGCCCAGCTCTTGCTAAGAGTCTAAGTAAGCCAAAGGGCTCATTTCATGCAAGCATCCCAGAAAACTACCAAGCTTGCAAACTTTGTGTTTTGTCTGTCTATTTGTTTGTTTGTTTTGTTAAAAATGTAATACAAATGTCTGGTTGCTCCTGACACAATAAATAAATAAGTAAATCCCAGAAAATGTTGTCTTATCAGATAGATCAAAATTACAATTAATCAATCAATCCTGTATATTGTCAAGACTGAAGAGAGTGGAGAAATATACGTTAACCCAGCCTTCTGAGTAGGCAATTTTGAAGCTAATTGAATGTTTAAAAGCCCTCTTGATTATGAATAAGCTACAACAGACTTTCCTCCTCTTTTTTATACTAGAAACAAGGTCAACTCTGTCATTAGACCAAGCTGGGAATCAAGGCATCTTCTAGAAATGGAGAAATGGAGAAATACAAGTAAAATCGCAAACATACAAAACATTCTTAGAAGGTAAGTAGAATCATAGAATCCTAGAGTTGGAAGAGACCTGGTGGACCATCCAGTCCAGCCCCATTCTGCTAAGAAGCATGAAAATCACATTTAAAGCACCCCCAACAGATGGTCATCCAGCCTCTGCTTCAAAGCCTCGAAAGAAGGGGACTCCACCACACTCCAAAATTGGCAGAGAGAGAGAGAGAGTGTTCCACTGCTGAACAGCTCTCTCTCCAAGTTAGAAAGTTCTTCCTCATGGTCAGGTGGAATCTCCTTCCTTTCCTGTAGTTTGAAGCCATTGTTCCATTGCGTCCTAGTTTCCAGGGCAGCAGAAAGGAAGCCTGCTCCCTGTGACTTCCCCTCACATCTTGATTCATGGCCCTCATCCTGTCTCCTCTTCACCTTCTCTTCTGCAGGCTAAACATCCCCAGTTCTTGAAGCCCCTCTATCCTCATAGGGCTTGTTCTCCAGTCCCTAGATCCTTTGAGTCGCCCTCTTCCTCTGGACACAGTATTACAGCTTAGAGTCAACATCTCCCTTCAAGTGTGGTGCCCAGTATGGGGCAGAGTGTGATTCCAGGTAAAGTGGTCTGACCAAGACAGAATAGAATAGAGCCAGGGTAGCAGGACTTCCCTGGATCTAGGCACAAGGCTCCTCTTGATGCAGGCCAAAATCCCATTGGCTATTTGAGCTGCTGCGTGACATTCCTGGCTCCTGTTCCCCTTCCTCCCCACGAGGACTCCAAGTTCTTTTCTGCACGTCCTGTCGTCCCCCATTCTGTCTCTTGGCCTTTCCTTTTTTCTGCCTAAGTGGAGTCTCTTTATCCCTGCTGAATTTCGTTGTGTTCATTTTGGCCAATCATCTCTCTAACTTGTGAAGATCCCTTCGACTTCCACTCCTGTCTTCTGGAGTATTGGCTCTCCCTCCCAATTTGGTCCCGTCTGCAAACTTGATGATCCTGCCTTCTAACCCTTCATCTAAGTCATTAAGAAAGAGGACTGGGCCCAGGAGGGAACCCTGCTTCTGGCACTCCAGTATGTTGGATCCTCTACATTAATTACACTGTTCTACAAATTTTCAGTTTTTCTCAGTTACGGAAACGAAATGTGCCATTTCTTAATAAATTTAACATGCTGAATTCAAATATAATAATTAAATGTGTTAATTGGCTCTGGTTTTTATGCAACAGCTATTTCAATTTTCTCCACAATAGGTAATTCGTTAATATTATGATAATGCGCCTAACCTTACTGCATGTATATAAACCGTGAATATTTACTAATTTTAGTCAAATTATATTGCCAATAGTTTATACATGAGAAATATTTATTTAATTAGTCTATTGTTTATGTTTGTGCAGCAAGAAACTATATTAGTAGGCCTAATGCAGTTGAAAAGTCTGAAAGTTTAAATGTCGCTTTAATCGTGACTTTAGTTTATATCCTGTTTGCTTCTCTTGACTTTTCTTTTGTATTCAAGGAAAGGATTCCCTCTTACAATGCTCCAGCAGGAGTCTGACAGCATTGACGGAGTCCATTTGCCTTGATATCTTTTTTCCATAGTGCTTTATTTACACACGTGCGAGGCATAACTACAGTAAAAAGAACAATGTAAAACGATGTTTAACGATACTGTCTCAGTCTTCAACTGACTGACCCTCACCGTTCAAAAGTCTGGCCTTATATAGGGCTTTCTGGCTTTTGCACATGGCACTAATACTGCGTCATCAAACTTTCTAGAGTATTCTAGACTCTTGCATAGTGTAAGTCGCAACATGCATTTTTTCAACCATACGTGATCACGTGATTGCTTATATCATCACTAGAGCCAATATACATTTTAAATGTCATTTTCGTTTTCAGCACCCCAAAATCATAAAAGAACAGCTATTTTCAGGCCCGCAACTTTCTAGAATCTTCCATAGTGTAAGTCGCAACATGCATTTTTTCAACCGTACGTGATCACGTGATTGCTCATATCATAAAAACTAGAGCCAATATACATTTTTAAATGTCATTTTCGTTTTCAGCACCCCAAAATCATAAAAGAACAACTATTTTCAGGCCCGCAACTTTTTCTCAGTTGAACAGTGTTATATAATGCTATACATTACCAAAACAAAACATAGGCAACCCTGCCTTTGTAGCCTCCAGTCCCTCTTCCCAGCAAAAGGTAGTAAAAGTTGTGAAAGATTGGAGGAAAATAAATTACCAATCCTTGTTGTGACTTGCCTTCCTTTTGGTGTCAATTCCAAGAGTAAACAGCAATGACCAGTAAAAACTCATCTCAAGCATGTAGTACCAATACTGGGAGGGCAGAACGGACTGCAAAGAGGAAGGAAAGAAGAAGCCCATGAATATTTTTTGTAATGTAAGTGCAAAGCAGGCCACATGGTGAATTGGTCTGAATCTGGACTAGAGGTTCCTCCAAATGAGGGTTGGAAGACCCACTCAGTCGTGGATTCTGAAAAGGAATGTCCCATCCAGAACGCCCAGTGCTGCTATTACCGGTTGTATACAAAACATATTTTCCAAAGGGCGTCTGAAACCAAATCCAGCATCCATAGCCCAACAAAGGATGTGACATGGATATAATGTCTCCGCAATCAAGACTCCAAAAGAATGGACATCACTCACGTGGAATGGGTAGTTCAGCCACACCAGCCAGATATCATGAAACCAGGGTTTCTGGAAGGAACATAGAATATCAAATGGAAAATCAGAATTATTGCCCACCTGATGGGGCCACTGGAACACAGTGTACAGTACTGCACATCAATGTGTAAGCACCTCTACTATTAAATCAGTACCCTTATGTTGCCCACAGCTCAGCCAGGATTTTGATTCCCGGGGGGGGGGGGGGGGGGTGAGTTTGATTCAGGGGGGCTGAGTCTGAGTGAGAGAGGGTCTACCCTAGCAAACTGTCAGGTTTTACAATGTATTGTAATGTAATATAGCTGAGTCATGGACTGCTAATGGGCTTCTATTGGAAATGCTGAGTCATGCATTAACTGTATATAGGGAATCATTGGGGAATGTGTTCTGGCCTAGTCCAGGTGATTGTGAATGATGTAATCCTGGGTCTGAGTTAAGTTAATGAGTTGGGAACCAATCAGAGATTGCTATGTGTAATTGTATAGAATTGTATATAAGGAAGTCATATACAGTGTATATTTCTTCTTGTGCTGTGATGTTGTTCGTCGAAGGCTCTATGTAATTAAAAGAACCTGTCTGCTAAGACAAGATATAACTGTATGCTGTGGTAAGTGGGGGAAAGACAATGGTAAAACTGACAATGGCCGGGCATGTGCTCAAGTGTCTGTAAAAGGTTCCAGAGTGACTGCAGGCTGTGGGAGCAGTTGACTGAAAATACTGTGCAGGAAGAAGCTACTGGACAGAGCTGAAGTTGTGCAACTGAAGTTGTGCCACTGAATTGTGAAGTTAATCTTTTGTATCGTTATCCCAATACCCCCATGCATATGGGATATATTGAGTATGGTGATCAGATCATGATAGGAATAAACATAACAGTTTAAATAATGTACCAGTAAAGCCTTCTCGTGGACCACCCTGAGAATTGGGGGTGAGGGGGCTGAAGCCCCTCAAACACCCCCCCCCCCCCGGTTACGGGACTGGATCAGGCCTATCTGGATATTAACAAGTTCCTTTCAAGAGAGTGCGGACCATTCTATACAAATCATTCCAAACACCATAAAGATTGATAAACAGGCAGAATGTGTTTTCAACAGTTGTGCCAAATTGTAAAATGCAATGTGTCCAAAAATTTGCCCATGCTTGATATAGATACATTATATATAAGATAATAGATCATATCATATATAAACATATTTTGGGGTGTCATGAGAAACTTTTGCTTCAAAAAGGGCTCTGCGGCAGAAAAAGTGTGAGAAACCCTGACCAAAGCTGTCTCTTTGCATTTTGCAAACTTTTACCTTGTGTGGATGGACGCCTTGACCCAAACTCAAATGTAGAACTCGTGGCAAGTCTTGAGAAAGTGGTTTAGAGATTGCTGAGCAGGTTACATTTTAGTTAAACGTTTTCTATTAAAGTGTGACTATCATTTCCTATTGAACTTACATCATAGAGAAATATAATTCCAGCCGTAAATGAGGTAGTATAGAATACAAATCGCCAACTGTAAAATAAATAAAATCAGATCAGAAATTGAATGCACACGTGCACATGCACACAGAATCTAATGCAAGGGTAATGTTCTTTTTCCATAGGCTTGGGAGACTTCTTGCTCTTTTTTTGCATTAATATCTATTGCTTTGCATTCTGGATTTCTGTTGTTGATTTCTGTTACTTCAAACCAGTTTGCAGCTTCATTTCCAATCACGATTTCAAACTGGGAGGTACAGTTTGGAATAGCTACAAGAGGAAGTAGAATTGGCTCTAAAATTGGTAACAGTGGATAATAGTTATTATTATTATTATTATTATTATTATTATTATTATTATTATTATTTTGGTCATGTCAGGAGCGACCTGAGAAACTGCAAGTCGCTTCTGGTGTGAGAGAATTGGCCGTCTGCAAGGACGTTGCCCAGGGGACGCCCGGATGTTTTGATGTTTTATCATCCTTGTGGGAGGCTTCTCTCATGTCCCCGAATGAGGAGCTGGAGCTGATAGAGGGAGCTCATCCGCCTCTCCCCGGATTCGAACCTGCGACCTGTCAGTCTTCAGTCCTGCCAGCACAGGGGTTTAACCCACTGCGCCACCGGGGGCTCCATAGGACCTATAATGAAAGACTAACAGATTCAATTTAAAAAGCCATTATGCTGTCCAATGGGGATGGAAAGATGCAGGATACACAACAACCTGTGGGAAGATGCATGGAGTAGTTAGTTGGAGTGTTTACATGCCTAATAATAATGAATTATGGAAAAATTGGCCACCGTTGGCCTTTCTCAGCAATCACTTTCAGACTGCGGCTGTTAATTAGTTCTTTGATTAGACTCCAATTAATCTTTGTTGATTATGCAATTTGTAAGAACAGCCAGGCACCGCTCCATCGTGCCTCATCCCAAGAGCGGATGCAAGGCCTTCCCTTCACCTCAACTTCATCCCAACTGCTTTGAGTCCCCTTTGGGAGACATAAAGTGGTGTATAGCATGTAGCCTATTGACCATATCACATTTGACAAACACATTTAATACATACACGTACAGCATACAACTCACAGTACAATATAAGTTTTTTGGGGGTTTTTTGGTTTTTTTGTCGTGTCAGGAGTGACTTGAGAAACTGCAAGTCGCTTCTGGTATGAGAGAATTGGCCGTCTGCAAGGACGTTGCCCAGGGGATGCCCAGATGATTTTTGATGTTTTTATCATCCTTGTGGGAGGCTTCTCCCCGGTGGCACAGTGGGTTAAACCCCTGTGCCAGCAGGACTGAAGACCGACAGGTCGCAGGTTCAAATCCGGGGAGAGGCAGATGAGCTCCCTCTATTAGCTCCAGCTCCTCATGCGGGGACAATATAAGTGAAAATAAACATAAAGCAGGGTATAGATAATAATAATACTAACAACAACTGCCACTTCCCTTGCCTCGGGTGGGACGAAGAGCAGCCAGAGCCTTTGGACTTTGTGCTCTCCCCAACTGCCACCCCACTTTCCTTGTGTGTTGTTTCCTATTAGACTGCAAGTATGAGTGCAAAGAACTGCCACAATTGCAAAGTATTCATGCAAAGTGTTGTCTATACTGATGGTGCAACATAAATGCATCAATAAATAAGATTTTCTACGAGGCTCTCAGGATACAGCTGAGCCAGAACTTCCATCAGCCCTGATAATGGGCATTGCGCTCAGTAAAAGGATCACACACTTGTTCCCTGTTCATCTCTGTCAGCATATGTGTCAAGCTCAAGGTCTGTGGGCCAAATTCAGCCCACTGAGTCATATTATGCAGCATTTCTAAAGGCTCCTGTATTCCTCATCATTCGACATCATGACTAGAGCTGATGGGAGTGGTCTGGAGAACAAGCCCTATGAGGAGCGGCTTAAGGAGCTGGGCATGTTTAGCCTGAAGAAGAGAAGGCTGAGAGGAGATATGATAGCCATGTATAAATATGTGAGAGGAAGCCACAGGGAGGAGGGAGCAAGCTTGTTTTTGCTTCCCTGGAGACTAGGACGCAGAACAATGGCTTCAAACTACAAGAAAGGAGATTCCATCTGAACATGAGGAAGAACTTCCTGACTGTGAGAGTCGTTCAGCAGTGGAACTCTCTGCCCCGGAGTGTGGTGGAGGCTCCTTCTTTGGAAGCTTTTAAACAGAGGCTGGATGGCCATCTGTCAGGGGTGATTTGAATGCAATATTCCTGCTTCTTGGCTGGGGGTTGGACTGGATGGCCCATGAGGTCTCTTCCAACTCTTTGATTTGATTCTATGATTCTATACAGTAATATCTGGAAAGTGGCTGTTTGTACTGCTTAGTCAGGATAGTTGTCCGAACGTATCTCCTTCTATGTCCCACCTTGGAGTTTAAGATCTTCTGGGGAGGCCCTGCTCTCTGCCCCGCCTCTATCACAAGTGAGGCTGGTGGGGACGAGGGACAGGGCCTTCTCAGTGGTGGCCCCTCGCCTGTGGAATTCACTCCCTGGGGAAATTAGGTCATCAACATCCCTCCTCCTTCAGAAGGAAGCTGAAAACATGGATATGGGACCAGGCCTTTGGGTAATCTGGCAGACTGACAAGGTAATGACGACCAGAATTTGGAAAGGACTATGGTAATGCTGAATGGACTTACGGATTTTAGAACTCGGTGAACGTTGGCCACTAGATTGGCTTTTTAGTTGCTATTGTATTAATTGAATGTTTTAATTATTGTGGTTATTGCTCTCATGTATTTTATCTGATGAATTGTTGGCATCGAATTGTGCCGGTTTTAAGCCACCCTGAGTCCCCCCCTAAGGGGTTGAGAAGGGCGGGGTAGAAGTGCCCAAAATAAATAAATAATAAATTGGAAATTAGACCCAAAGTTGAGGGATGCTATGTCTTCACAATGTCTGTTAACTTTTCCCCTAACCTCAGAGACGGAAGTCCTGCTGGGTTGCCATTCCCATTATCCCCAGCCCACATGGCAGATCATCAAAAGTGATGGGAACTTTTATTCAAGAACACCAAACTGGGTAAAACCAAAGAGCATTGATCACTCTGTCAAAAATATATGGTTGGGCCTCTGTATCCATGGATTCTCTGAGCATGGATTCAATGGCTCTTTGAAGGCAACCATATGGCTGAGGTGGCCCTCAATGAAGATGAGTTGGACACTCCTTCTCAACGGAGTCAAGGGTTCCAACCTGGCATTCCATCTCTCCTGCTTGGTTGCTACATTTTCTGAGAAACACATATAGATAGAAATATATGATATAGATTTGGCATGGGTGCCTCTTACCAAGCCTCTTGGAATTTCTTGTGTAAAGTTGGGATTTCTAGATTTCGCCGTCGCCTGAACCATTTTTCTACCAGGTGCATCGTCCAATTACACTTTTTGGCTAATCCGCGTATCTCTGACTAGAAAAGGAAGGGAAAAATCAGGGGCAGCAAAGTTTTGAAAGGTGCATGTTACCAACTAAGATACAATTATTCCGATGCTAAGAATGCCGTTTTGATCAATCAATCAATATGTTTATTCCACCAGCCCAAGGCCAGGACAAAAAGCCACAAAATGTACAGAAAAGTATGTTCAGAGTAAGCAAACAAATGAAGACATGGAATAAAGGTTATTATCATTCCAATACAAATAATAATAATGTTAAAATTGCAGATAAATTACAAATAAAATTTTGGGAAGAAATCAAATTAGCACTCCCTAGTCTCCATGACAATGTATGTGCTGGTACAGCTGTAACAGGAGCTCCAATTTTATTTGCTTTGTATTAAATGTTTGCTTGCAGTCCAAGGTTCCTGGGATTCTGCAGGTGGCTTCCTTTGGTTGCAGTCATAGGGCAAGTCACCTGCCCATCATTATTAAGTTTTGGTTCCGCCCCTTGCTCAGTGCAATTGGGAAGGGAAGGGAGCCATTTTTAGTTAGTCTTAGGGCTGGGCGGTTTCGTTTCGTTAATTCGTAATTCGTTAAAAATTCGTTATTTTTTTGTTAACGAAGCGATAACGAACCATTCTGGAGCAACTTAAAAACGAAACGAATTTTTCAATTCGTTTCGTAAATGCTTCGTATTTCGTTATGTATTCGTTTCGTTATTGGTTTGAGGTCGTTTCGTTATTATTTCCGCATGTCTGGGGCAAGTTTTATAGTTGTTTTTTGTTTAATTAGTGAAAAAAAATTATAATATCACACCAACAGTCAACAACAGAGGGAGAGGGAAGCTTCAGAAGTTTTTTTAGCGTATTGCGCGATTGCGGCCGCCATTAACGAATCGATTCGTTATTGTTTCGTTATTGTTTTGTAATTTTTTTACCATTTACGAAATTTCGTAAATATCGAACTTTTTTTAAGGAAAATTTCGAATTCTTTTAAATATCGAAACGCAAAAAACCCCAAAAAACGAATCAATTTTAGAAACAAATTTTTCCGTTGTTACCCAGGCCTAGTTAGTCTCAGTAAGGAAAGCTAATGTATAGGACGTGTCCAAGCTTTTCCTGTACAAAAGCTTCAACCCGTAAGACTTTCTGAGGGAGAACAGTCTTAAGAGCATCCAAAGATCTCCAAAGATTTCCAGGGAAACAGCCCTAAAGCTTTGAGGAATTTCGGCGGGTAAACAGTTTGGAAGACCAAAGAACTCCAGCTGGAGAATCTACTGGCCTTTACTCTGCCACCTGAAGTCCATGCCTTGCGGGACTTATCGGCTTTCCACAGGGCATGTAAGACATATCTGTTTCAACGGGACTTTGATCTCTGATATTGTTATTTTTAAATTGTTTTAAATTCTTTTTAAATTGTGTTAGATTTTAGCCTGTTCTTGCAAGCCGCTCCGAGCCCCAGGGGAGTGGCAGCATATAAGTTCGAATAATAAATAAATTAGTATTTGCTTGAGATGGTGCTTGCAGTTCTGGAGGGACGCTTAATTTTTTGCATCTCATAGACTTAGCATGGGAATTTGGTTAACCAGTTAAAATTCATGAGTAAACCGGGTTTTTTAAAAAAATCTGAAACATTTCGGGGGGGGTTGAACCCCTAAACCCCCCCCCCCCCCCGCTACAGGCCTGGTTACAACAGACACTAAGAAGACTAATGAACACATGACAGGATGAAAATGTCATGGGCTGGAGTGCATTTTAACATATCTGCTTATGAGATACTGGAATGTTGAAGGATCATTTTGGAATTCCCTTCCCTATTGTGGTCATTTCTTCAAGGTCTCTCGCCACAAAGAGGATCTGATCTTAAGGCTGTCGCAAAGGTGAATGCTTCCAAACAATTTCAAGGAACGCTTAAGTGTAGGTGGTGTGTGTGTGAGAGTCCTAATCTTTTTCAGATTCTGAGCACTTTGCGACTACAAACCATCCAGGCAATAATACCTCAACTGATTACATGGTTGTGACATTACAGGATTGCTTAATTCTGAATTAATCCACGCTGAGTAAAAGGGTGTGATTTTGTGTGTGGCAGATGTCAGAAGGGAAAGATAACACTACAGGGACCTATGTGTGGGTTCCAAAAGTATTCCCTGTTGAACAGCAATGAATTTTGTTGTCACAATAAATGACACGGGAAGCACCGCTGGTAAAATTATCAAACAACACAAATGGTTTCGCAGGATGATTCACTAGATCATTCTTTGATCAGTTTGTGACAATATTTTCCTTGAGAGACGTTCCCAGGCTTCACATTCACAACTCCTATGTTTTCTATGCCAGGTGTGGAAAACCTGGAGCCCTCCAGATACTATTGAGTTCCGAGTTTCATAATTTCTTACTGCTATCCAAGTTAGTTGGGAATAATGGGACTTAAGAGTCCAATAACAATAGGAGGACCACAAGTTTCCCACCCTTGCTTCTAAGGATGCACCTACAACAGGCATGGGCCAACTTGGGCCCTCCGTCCAGGTGTTTTGGACTTCAACTCCCACAATTCCTAACAGCCTCAGGCCCCTTCCTTTCCCCCAAGGCTATTAGGAATTGTGGGAGTTGAAGTCCATACACCTGGAGGACCCAAGTTCACCCATGCCTATGCTATAATTATGTCGTCCACTTATTGCAAGATGTTGTCCACGTACTGAAGGAATTGTGGGAGTTGAAGTCAAAAATACCTGAAGGGAGGCCCGAAGTTGGCCATGCCTGTGCTATGAGTTTGTTGTCCACAGCGGCGGCCCTAGGTAATTTTCAATGGTAAGCAAACAGTATTTTGAAACCCACTCCCCCTCCCCCAACCAATCACTAATATATATTTTCTGTTCGTTGTGGGAGTTCTGTGTGCCATATTTGGTTCAATTCCATCATTGGTGGAGTTCAGAATGCTCTTTGATTGTAGGTGAACTATACATCCCAGTAACTACAACTGGCATATCCCAAGGTCTATTTTCCCCAAACTCCATCTGTGCTTATATTTGGGCATATGGAATATTTGTGCCAAGTTTGGTCCAGATCCATCATTGTTTGAGTCCACAGTGCTCTCTGGATGTAGGTGAACTACAATTCTCAAGGTCAATGCCATCAAACCCTTCCAGTATTTTCTGTTGGTCATGGGAGCTCTGTGTGCCAAGTTTGGTTCAATTCCATCGTTGATGGGAGTTCAGAATGCTCTTTAATTGTAGGTGAACTATAAATCCCAGCACTACAACTCCCAAATGACAAAATCATAATTTTTTGAGTGATGGTCACTCCTTGTGTTGTGAGACGTTTTGTTGCCAAAATTTGGTGTGATTTCGTTCATTGGTTCTTTTGTTTTTAAGGTACTCATTATCCACAGAGCCTTTATATATATATAGATTGAAGAGCTATATTTTATACCTTTATATTGTATACAGATTTTAATTGCTTAACTGTACCACCTGATTGACTGATTTATACCTTTTTAGCCAAAGCCGTCCAATGTGTTTTAATAGTATGTGTAATGTTTGATTATTGATAGTATACAGCATCGAATGTTCGTCACTTTTGTTTTTTGTAAGATGCAATGAGTCCCTCTAGGGAGAGAGGGCAAGTTAGAAATAAAGTGTGTGTGTATTCGTGTTTACACTTATTTTCATTTGGTGCAATTACATCCGGGGGGGGGGGGGGTAACACATGAGTTTTATTTTAATTTTCTCTATTTTTATTATTGTCCAATTAGAAATTTAGTAGTATATGTTAATAAGATAAAGGATACGTAAAATTTTAAGATAAAATGAACACCGAAGAAGACCTTCTCTCCTTTTGTTCTGGTACGGCTTTACCAGGAGCTCCAATTTCATTTGCTTTGTATTAAATGTTTGTTTGCAGTCCTAGGTTTCAGGGACTCTGCAGATAGGTGGCTTCCTTTGGTTGCAGTCATAGGGCAAGTAACCTGTCCGTCATCATTAAGTTTTGGTCCCGCCCCTTGCTCAGGGCAATTGGGAAGGGAAGGGAGCCATTTTTAGTTAGTCTCAGCAAGGAAAGCTGATGTACAGGTCGTGTGCAAGCTTCCCCTGTACAAAAGCTTCAACCCTTAAGACTTTCCAGGGGGAAACAGTCTTAAGAGCATCAAGACTTTCCGGGGGGAAGCAGTCTTAAGAGTTTCCAAAGAATTTCCAGGAAAACAGCCCTAAAGACCAAAGAACTCCAGCTGGAGAACGTCTAAGCCTTTTCTGGTAGGTCCATTTGGCGTTCGAGAAGCAGTTCGACCCAGTAGCGGAGCCCACATCAGTAAGGGTTAGATTACAGTCAACCTGGGAGAAGTTAAAAAGGGGATTTTCTTTTAAAGAAGAAGTTATTGAAGACAGTTGCCTGTTCTTCGTGGGCAAGTTTAGAAAGCCACCAGTTGCATAAAAGCCTGGAATCATTTGTTTAACTTTACTGAAGACAAGAGAAGTTTCTGTTTGATTGTTCATTAATAAAAGACTTTGTTGTACTTCTCAAGCCATCTAAAGATTATTTGTGGTGGAAAACCTCTGAGAACTTCTCTTTGGGCCCCCTGGCTTCCCGCTGGGCAAAGGTTGCATGACCTGTTCTAAAGACAATTCTTTATAGGCCCAGCGCACGACAGAACAGTATGGGGTTTGTTAGTGCCAGTTTATTAAAATTCAATTCCATGTAACATGCAGCAGCCAGGATGTTAACCGGGGCTCATTACAGAGAGAGGTCAACCCTCCTGTTTAAGGAGCTCCACTGGCTGCCGTTTATTTTCCGAGCCCAATTTAAGGTGCAGGTGCTTACCTACAAAGCCCTGAACGGTTTGGGACCACCCTACCTGCGTGACCGTATCGCTGTCTACGAACCCACACGCTCACTCCGGTCATCTGGAGAGGCCCTGCTCGTGATTCCGCCCGCGTCGCAAGCGCGCTTGGTGGGGACGCGAGACAGGGCCTTTTCTGTGGTGGCCCCCCGACTCTGGAACGCCCTCCCGAAAGATCTCAGACAAGCCCCTACATTGGCAG